CTATCTAAACCAACCCATCACATAAAACAGCACTTCACCATTAGCTTGTGGGTCGTAGCAGCTAGCAGAGTTCACAGAAGGACGCGTTTGTTTGGATAGTTTGTGTACATTTCCAAAAGAGTGTGGTTTAGGTCTGGTTGATTCATTTCTCCCCCATCCTCCATCTATCTCCTGATCTAATGATAAGGGTGAGGGAAGGTGTGGGTTGAGGTCAACAGTGGTCTACACATCTGTGCTACGTCTAAGCTGTTAAGTCATCTAATCAAATCTGAGGAATTACTCAGGAATTGTAATGACTTTATACTCATTAAAAAAGTAATAATACTTAACTTATTACTGGATATTAAAAGTAATTAGTTAAGTAACTCGTTACATTACTATATTACTTTCACTTCCATTCCTAAAAAGTGATGGACAACCTGTTCAGCAGCTCATTTTAGAAATGAATCCACTTTACTGGAACAATAATTAACCTGAGGAGTCAGCCAAACTAAAAATATTACAGCCTCTCAAACCACATGATACTATACAGTACAGGCTGCGTATATATTTAAAAAAAACACAACAAAAACAAAACAAGTCTCCCCCAAATATTTGAGCAGCAAGGAGTACTCTTAACGCTAATGGCTGAAATAAAATTTTAAAAAGCAAGGCAAGCAATGTGCGTCTGTTTAACGCCACTCTCTCACAACGAGTGCATGCAGTAGCAGCCTCTCTACAAGTTTCACGTTGCTGCGCTGCTTTAGCAGATGTAGAATTTTTCACGGTTAAAGACCCAACACTCATAACTCATGACACATATACCATTTCCACAAAAATTATTTTACTGACGTTTAACAAGGACTTTAATACAGTGTATGTATAAAATATTACACTTTTACAAATCTGAACTGATTCTTTGCTTGTTTTTCAGTGTATTTAAAATAATGGATGCAATTTTCTTTCAACATACAAGGGTAAAGCCCCAGTGTGGAAAATGTTGGATTTGGTGGTTCCTAGTGGTAATAACAAAAAGGAAACTGCGGTGGACAGAATTGCACATAAGAGTTCCATGTGCACGGGTCAGGCTGCTTTAGGTGTGCCATGCTGTGCCAAGCGAAATACATACATTTGATGGCATACATTTCCACTACTGCCTCACAGCAGAGGATAGCTACGCTGAGCCGCGCTGCTGTGGTACTGCTTGGTAGCAGGGTTTCTGCTGTTGCAGCTTCACATTGAGCTTTCCTCTGGCAAAAAGGCGGGATGCTCAGAGAATCCTTAGCAGTGCTCTTTCTCAATAAAACTCAGAATCAACCAGATATAGACCTACTCTGCACGATTTGGTCAGCAAATCTGTTATATGAAATACTGAAAAGAGGGACAGTACAAACAGAAACAGCCACAGTGATCTGACAAGGGCTGCAGTCTCCAGGTTCTTACTGTGATTTGTGACTACTACACTTCCATCACGCCATTAAGGTGAACAACTTTATCTTACTGTGGTGTGTAGTGGAAAAACACTTGTGCTCGCAGCTGTTCACAGCATGGCTCGGCGTGACTGCCACCCCTACTATGAAAAATCCCTATAGGCTTACCTGGTGTCCCCTGCACCACATCCGCTTTAGGCTGCTTGTGAAGAAAAGTATGGCGGAATTCCTGAGCAATGATCTGGAATCGGTAGACAATAAATGTTTTTAAACTGAACAGGCTGCTTTATGTAATTTTAGTCTGTATCAAAGTGGCTGTGTGCTCCACCTGTGGTGTGAGGAACCTCTCTATCCTACAGGTCAGAAAAGGTTTGTCCAGTATGCTGCTGACCGAGGGCCTCTCTCGAGGGTTGCGTTTAAACAGCTGGGCCAAGAGAGAGCGCAGTTCTTGGGAGTAGTGAACAGACACGGGAGGGTATGAGCCGCGGATGATCTTCAGAACTAGGTTCTTCATGTTGCCAGCCTCAAACTGAGGAGAAATACACACAGAACATGTTTGTAACCACTGCAAAGAAATTACTGAGGGCAATCATAGTGGATCATAAGCAATGATGGAGTAAAGCAGGGGTTAGTAAGGGAGTGGCAGAAAGACTATGAAGACTATGATCAGAGTTACAGTTTTGATTATGAGACTCAAGAAAAAATGACAAATTCTTTGAAACTTAGTTTGTCAATCATTACACATACAGTACATACAGGGAGGAGATCAAAATCAGAATGGGAAAGAGCATCACAATGCTGCACAAGATACATTAAATCTACATTAATTAGTAAACAGCTCACACACAGAATACTTACTGCATGCTTAAGAGTACACATTTCATATAGGACACACCCTAGGGCCCAAATATCACTGCAGAGGGAGGGAAAGTAGGGAACGTGAGAGGAGAGAACATACAAATGAACAGGCAGGGAAAAGTTCTGGGGTAGTCAGTCACTTGCAAAGCTTTTCCTTTCTTTATCAGTAACTGGAGAAAAAAAAAAAGACTTAATTGCTTAAAAAACTCCATATGTAACATTGGGATGCTGCTAAAATTTACTTAATTTGTTGTGACTAAAGTGGCTTAGATTACATGTATACTTAAAATAGTTAAAGAGGAAATCAATACCAGCATCCTGCTGTAGCTACAGACAAGCAGGTTCATTCAATAAAGAGGAAACATGATACCTTTACATCATCCAGAAGCCACCACCTAATCCTGCATGACTCACAATTTGGCGGGACAAAACTTGTCTCCTGGATTACGATTAAATATTGATTTATACCAGAAATGAGACACACTAAAATCATGGTAATGCCGAACATCAAGTTAGTACCTCTTGTTGTTGTACGGTTTATTTTCGCAGATCTCTGGTGATAGGTAATATGGTGTTCCTATACATGTTCTTGCCAGTTCAACAGTGCTGAAAGTGAGAAGAGAATGGAAAGCAAATTATATTATGCTTCACTTTTCCCAAACCTTGCTTCATAGAGATCGACAGAGCTTCTCAGATGACATTTGACATACCTGTTCAGCACCCTGGCAATTCCAAAGTCTCCAAGCTGTACAGTCCCATCTTTTGTCAGAAATATGTTCTATATGGACATTATGAAAAGAAATGTCACTACATGGCAAATTAACTTCTTATTATCCCTGAGGAAAGATCTTCTGGAGAAGCAATACCTGCGACTTGATGTCCCTGTGGAGGATTTTTCGATCATGTACATGCTTCAGTGCCAAGCAAATCTGCACAAACCAATCTAAGATCTAGGAAAGGGAGAGGATGGTAAACCCACATTACATGGTATCACGTTCCTATCTACATCATTTGTAATTCTAATGGCTGAACAGCCCAATGAAAAAAAAACACATTAAAAGCAATATGACCAAATCATTCCACATGGTGTGCACTATTCACTGTCAACAGGCATGTCCTAAACCTTCATGATTGTAAGAGTTAGTGACTCACTTGCTCTTCTGAGAACAGTACTCCTTTCTGAGAGTTGATCTTCTTGAAGAGGTCTCCTCCCTCACAGTAGTCCATCACAATATACAGACAGCCCCCCTCTACAAAGAATTTGATATGGTATTCAGAAAAGTCATAATATATATTTTATTGTGTCAACTGCAAGAGAGTGCCTCTGAGGTTCTTAATGTCTAAAATCTTTGGACGGTGTGAATACCTTCAAAAGACTCCTTATACTGGACAATGTTGGGATGACTCATGTTGGCAAGTACTGCAACCTCTCTTCGAGATTCCTGCCTCTCTTTGCTTGACATCTGTCAGAATAAGAAACAGAGAATGTGAATGAGCAAGTTAGTAAAAAAAAAAGGTCACATGAACAGTTAAACTTGGGGAATATAATGCATAGGAGCTTACCCCAGATATGCCAATCTCCTTGATGACATATTGGTGTCCATCCTCTTTGGATTTCACAAGGACGGCCTTTCCAAATGACCCTTCCCCAATTTTCTTCACCTTTTCGTACTTGTCCATGCTAGTGGAATGACTGGCTCTTCATGCTGGGTCTGCAAAGAGATCAAGGAACATATTGCAAAGCTATGCTCGAGCTGATTAGGCTTTGATCATAAAGCTAAGAGTTTAATGACGGTAGTAATACTTCTGAAGCTATTGTATACAGTAATGTCAGCTCCATCAATGAGTGTTGTCAGAAAGAAAACGATACCTTGCTTCAGATGGGCTGTGATGCTGAGACAACACAGCTGATTTAGCAAGATAGCTAACGTTACCGTTAACTTTACATAGTAGCTAGACGAAGATAGAAGACCTCCCTACATAAAATATACGCCCCATGAATGCACGCAGCACTGAGTAATAAAATGAACGTAGCGCACTAGGTAGAGGTATGTAAACGTGATTAGGTGGCTGACACTTCGCTTACCATTAGTCTTTTTCGCTGCTGTCTCACAGAGGCTCTGGTACGTGTTACCGCCCTCGCGCTCTCTGTCTAACTACAGCTCTCTTTTTGCTGCATTTTGATTGGTCACCTTCACATTTGTCGATCGCCAATTGGTTTATATCACAGTCAATCATCACGGTGACTTGTGGTTGTCTCCACCCCCAAAAGAACTGTTGCTGTGGACATTTTCCATAGCAACCGCAAGCCAACCGTGGATCACGGAAGCCTTTTGAAGAATATCTAAGAACCAATATCAACAGAGTAAAAAATGTGGAAGTTTGATATAATGTAAACATGAAATATAAGAAAGAATAATAAGAGCATAGATGCAATATAATACAAAACGAATATGTGTGACCAAAACAGTACACATCAGGGCACCTACAGATGGCCTTGTAGCCATACACAAAGCACCTTATCAATATTTTCAAATCTAGGTGACTCTCAATCTAATGTGTCAAAACATGTTAGCTGATCTGGGTGTTCTGGGAGCGTATATGGGGCGTATCCCCTCGAATTACAGTGAAATTTATGTAATATTTTATTCAAACATTGATCCCAGATCAGTGCTTGAACTGTTTGCTCCGTGATAACCCAAATTTATAACGTATGGTCACATGACTGGCTCGCACACGCCTCTTTTTATCGCCGACTGAGCCGTACGCAGATGACGCACTGAGGCTCAGTGTGAAGATGGCTCCCTTTCCAGACGAGGTGGATGTTTTTACTGGCCCACACTGGCGAATGAAGCAGTTGGTGGGCCTATACTGTGAAAAGGTGAGCACAAATAAATGTGTGTCGCTAATGTGGAGGTTTACAAAGGAATATATGACTGTGTGTGGCTAACGGACGAGTGAACGCCAGCTAGCTAACAACAGCTAGCGTGTCCATAGGATTGACTTGAGTCGAAGCAGATTGAATAACGTTATCGGATGATAGCCTCACGACTACAGTGGTGTCGTTTTTGGTATTAGCACCGTGGCTCGACTTATGAACGTGAAGTTTGCGTTGCATGGAGCTACCTTACTTAGCCAGCACGTAATGTTATTGGGCTTCTCTTAATAAACTTTCAATGCGTTAACCCAGCGCAGGCTTGCTAACTGGGTTAGCTAAGTTAGCTTAACCAACCTGCAAGATAGCCTGTTATGCAACATGCTTTAAGTATCACAACGCAGTTTCTAAAAACTGTATGATATTTGAAATTTCCCGGCTATCTGTTAAAATTTCGCCACGTGCCAGATCATCTCAATTAACACTAACTAATGTACGGCGGGTGTGCTAACGGAGGCTAACGTTAACTACGTTATGTTACTGCTGTAATCTGAGCTGTCTGACTTTGCATTCTCTGTGGTAACGCAGCTATTGTGTTGGGAACTACAAAATATTGTGCACTGAATGTTACCAGCAGAAGAGCTAATTGTCATATATATGGTCATATGTAGCTTATGGATCTAAATCTAAACACAAATGACGTTACAGTTAATAATAAATGAGTTTTTCTTCTGTTTTTCACAGCTGTCAAAAACCAACTTCTCCAACAACAATGATTTTCGCTCATTTCTTCAGTCACTGTGCGCCACCTTTAAGGAGTTCAAGATGCATGAACAAATTGAGAATGAGTACATAATCGGCCTGTTGCAACAACGCTGCTGCACAGCGTACAATGTGCACTCTGACAACAAACTCTCAGAGATGTTGTCCCTCTTTGAAAAAGGGTTGCACAGCGTTAAGGTAAATATGCATTGATGTTTTAAAGAATAGTTTATTGTCATGCCATGGCCCTAAATTGCACTTAAAAAAACTGGCTCAGCAGAAAAAACCTAGGCTTTACTTAAAGGGAAAACACACATTCACTTCTGCAGAGCTCAGCTGATAGTTGATGCTCAATGGTGGAGCAACACTGTCATTAGATTAACTATTATGTTTGCCACACAAAGTTTGCAGTACCAACAACATCAGAATTGTTACTTTTCATATATACATGTATACATTAAATGTAGAGTAAATTTATGTTTAACCCTTTAGACAAATTGCAGCTGTTCTCATTAAAGTAGTTTTTGTCACTATTGTTATTAATTAAGAAAAGGGCCAGATGCAGAGAGAAGTCTGCTGAATTGTATAAAAAGGGCAGGGTTATTTTTGTGATCTGCTTATCAAGAGAGAAGAGTTCTCTCTCAGGCCATGCTCACACAAAAAAATGGGCTTTCCAGAAATATGCAATTGTGTAAATCTTATCTTCCGATCTGCCTTGGTCATTTTGTAAGATAGAAAGGAACTTTCAGTTGCTTTGAACTGCACTCTGTCCTAGGGTGTTTATTTTGTAGTTGGAGGACCTTATTTTGAATTCTCATCAGTTGTTGATTAGCCTGTGCAGAATATTAGGCCTGAGAAGGATATTAATCATGATTTCCATTTCTTATAATCTAGCGAATGAAAAATGAGCAGGTGGCTGCAGATTTGGTCATTCAGTTGTGAAAAGACTGAACTCCTAGATGTCATAGATGGGATTCTCAAGAAGTCTCAACAGCTCTGTTTTTAAGGGATTCCATGAATTAATCATTCTTGTGTGTTTTTAGAGTGAATATGAGCAGCTTAACTATGCCCAGCAGCTGAAGGAGAGACTAGAAGCTTTCACACAAGACTTTCTGCCCCACATGAAGGAAGAAGAAGAGGTATAAGATGTTCAAATGTCTTATGTTCATAAACAACAAAAGCGGAAACATAAAAAATAGACCTAAGAAAACATATTTAAAAACGCTTGTTCATACCGCAGTGAATTGCGCTGTTGCCAGCTGTTTATAAACTAAGGAGATTCGTTGCAGGTGTTTCAGCCTATGCTTATGCAGTACTTCACCTATGAGGAGCTCAAGGACATCAAGAAACAGGTGATAGCGCAACACTGCAGCCAGCAGCAATGGGACTGTGCCGCTGAGGTGCTGAAGGGCTTCAGTTTGTGGAGCCAGGCAGAGGAGCTGCAAAAAGCCTTTAAATACGCAGATCACGAGAAGACAGATTATGGTGAGTGAATATATTCCTCAATGTTAAAACAATTTTATGCAAGCAAGCTCAAAGTCAGAAGTAATTTGACGAAATGCTTCATGTTCCTCATACCTGAAGGGAGGTTCTTGCATTATGCAAGCCTTGAGTGAAGCATTAACGGTGTTCATTACCACCGCTGTGACAAGTTGAATTCAGGTTCTCAGTGTAGTGTCACAGCCGGTACATGAATGACTAGTTCTCCCATCTGTACTCTTTTAAATGTAGTTGCATTGAAACATCTGTCATACTAATCCAAACAGTATTAAAAATGGATGACAAATTTGATAGTTGTGTCATTTAACAAGTAAAATGACCATCCCAGCTTCCTAAAATGTGAAGATGTGTTAACTCTTTTCTTCATACCTTTTAAGTTTTTGAGTCAAAACAAACAATTAAAGGACATCACTTTGGGCTCTGGTTATTTGTGATGATATTTGTAATATTTTGGTCATTCTCTGAACAAAACTACTTAAAAAAAAACATTCATTGATTAAAAAATATATATTTGAAGCCCAACAGTATTGTCTAGGACTTACAGTGCAATAGGCTTTCTTCACTGCAGACACTTTGACATTGACTTTGTCATTGAAAAAAGGATTAATAATGGCTCCGTCCTATCTTTGTGTCCCAGTGAGTTGGGACAGTGCAGAGGCAGTTAAATGGAATCATCATTATGTTATTATTTACACCTGTGGTGACAAGTCATTAGCTTCAGGAAAAGAATCAATTGTCTTGGAAAGTGGATGGCATTTGTAGAAGGCGCATTTCATAAGCGGTTTTGCCCTTTTCCTCAGAACTGGAAAAGAACAGGAATTGTTCAGCCCACATCACCCAGCTTCCTACAGAAATCATGCTGAGGCTGTTCCACTATTTAAGCCCTGTAGATCTGTGCCGCTGTAGCCAAGTGTGCAGCTCTTGGTCAGAGCTGGCCAAGACCGGCTCTCTGTGGAGGCACCTCTATCCTGTACGCTGGGCCAGAGGTAGGTCGCTGATAGCTGGTGATTACCATAAGGAACAGAATATTGTTTACTAACCATGTAGTGGTGGTGCACTGCTGATAAACATTTGTGTCTCTCTAATGTAGGTGATTTTTATCGTGCCCCCCCTGGGGATCTGGACCAGGAGCCAAATGATGAGTGGGTAAAGAGTCGACAGAATGAGGGTCGGGCCTATCAGGAATGGGATGAGGATGCTGATGTAGATGAGTCTGGTGAGGTTTTGTCCTAAGTGACCATACTCAGTTAGTGATGAAAACACTAGCACTTGCAGTATGTATACTCATTATAGAAAGAAGCTAACAAAAAGGTATAATTGGGAATGTGCTATTGCTAGTTTGAAACCCCTTCAACTTGTATTTGGTAAAAATCGCCAGCGTGCCCTTAAAAACACAATGACCACTGTTTTTAATGCTCTGCAGTGTAAGACACATGTATTTGTTTTCACTGGTCAGCTGTAACAGAGTTTTATATTTAAAATTCCGCAGAAAAGTCTACATAAATGAATCTTCATTAACATCAAAAGACATGGGCTGCATTGAGATTGATTGATTGATTGAAAGAGCACAATAGTTTGGTTGATTGTCTTGTTTATATAGGTTAATAAAAGTGTAGCATGATAAAATCGTTTGGACTTTTAAGACTTTGCACTAAAGTCCATGAAAGTGTTACCTCCAGATTTGAGGCTGCACTCTGGCATGAAGGCAGTAAACAGTGTGCAGCATTAGCCATACACTGTGTCTAGCAGCCCATTCTTCAAAGATGATGAGTCAAATTAGTTATTTATCTAAACTGAGTAAACTGTGTCATCCTTGTTCTTGCTGGTTGTCTTTTCAGATGTGTCGAGCCATAGTCAGGGCTCCCTGGCAATTAGCACCGCTCAGCGAGAGAAAAGGTTTCTGAATGGCATTATCCAGAACCTCCTGCCAGCTGTGGGTCCATCTGTCAAATCCATTGTTCTTGCGTACAGTTCTACAGTGTCTAGTAAAATGGTATGCAGCTCAAATATGTATTTTGACACTGTTGGGCAATACCTGATTATGAGGTTTGTGTCAAGTCTGAACTGACATACTTTTGTCCTCTTTTCAGGTGCGCCAGATCCTCAGTCTCTGCCCCAATATTACTCACCTGGACCTGACCCAGACTGGTGTTACAGATTTTGCATTTGACAGGTAAATATTAAGTCATTACTAAAATATTAGTAAGTCATTTCTGATTATGCACAGTGGTCATGGGGTATCGTTGACAAAGGCTATGCACTGGGTCCACGTTAGTTTGAAATGTGCTCTGGACAGTTGTTTCTTTAACTCTGTACTCATCGGTACTATGTTCTTGCTATCCACCCTCTTTCAGCTGGTCATCTCTCGGAGCCTGTCTTTCTCTGGAGCACCTGGATTTGTCGGGGTGTGAGAAAATTACTGATCACACCCTGAAGAAACTGTCTTTTGGGCTGGGTGACCTCACACCTTTCACCTGCTTTGACAAACGCTCGGACCGACGCGCCAAGCTTCTGAAAAATTCCCCAATGCCCATCATGCTCATGGAAGAGAGAAACCTACATCCAGTGGGGCAGAAGCGGCAGGCCATCATTTTCAAGCAGGGTACTGGCCATTGGGGAGCTGCCTGCACCCCCACAGAAGTGTGGGTCCTGGACACCTCGGACCTTGCTGATATTGAAGATGCTGCAGAGTGGAGCCGTCGTGGTGGGATGTCTCTTCCTGAAGCAGAAAGCTTTGTCGAGGCACAGCTTGTGGGAGGCTCATGCTGTTGCAGGAGGAGCAGGAGGCGGGGGCACAGGACTGGTTCAAGTGCCTCATATTTGCATCAGCAGTATGCCATGTCTGGGGAAATGTTTTGTGGTCACTCCACCTGCTGCACTGGTGACATGGCCCTCAGGACTTTAAATGGGCCTGAATCAGGCACCACCACCACCACCACCACAAGCAGCACTGCAGAGTTTCGGACTAAATGCTCTTCATTTGGGAGCCTGCAGTGTCTGGAGCATGAAAACAGGACTGGCCAGTCAGAGGCAAAACGCACGCTGAGATTTCTCAGTCTCTCTGGATGTTATCAAGTCACAGATTTGGGTTTGAGGTAAAGATTATGCATCGCTGTTTTTCAAACCAACTACAAAAATGAACCAGCTTCATATGTAAACTAGCATGATTTTCACATACAAACCTGTGTTTACATGGATTTATTTGAGAGGTTAGTATCTTCAGAAACTGATGTGATGCAGTGAGTCATCGTAAATCAGCTAAAAAATGCCACAACATTTTGTCAGGTTGTTTTGATGCAGTTTCAAAACGGCAGTTAGTGGTAAGTGGCAAGTGTTGTTATTTTCAGTGCTAGCTGAAAACAGAAGATGTCATTTGTGCCAGCACTCTGCCACTTATGTTGGTAAACCTTTCTACCGAACACACTTTGGGTGAGATCCAGTATAAGTGTTGTAGTAATGCAGGTGTGCTCATTAAGTTATGTTTACATTAGTTATTACCTAAATACTGATTAAGGTTAAGACTGGATTGTCAGTGTTCATCTAGACATTCCCACTGCTGCCGTGCATGTCGCTGTGCCTGTAATGAGGTTGCACTGTGTGTTTCAGGGCTTTGTCTCAGCGTGGAGGGCTTCCTGTCCTGGAGCATCTTAACTTGTCTGGCTGCCTCTTCATCACCGAGAAGGGGCTGCAGGAGCTGGTGTCAGCCTGTCCTTCGCTCAATGATGAGCACTTCTATTACTGCGACAACATTAACGGTAACACTCAGAAGGGAAATTGTTAGGGGTCCCTTCCTCCGAAACACAAAAGTGTTCATGCTCATCTAGTAAGGTGCTTTGGAGATGGGCTCTGTTATGTAAATCTATCTATTGCAATGTGATAACTGTAACAAACATTACTAACCCCACCAGCATAGCATGTGTCCAAGTGTAAGTAACAGATGCTACTGAGGTGGAAGGTAAGTAGGCATTACAGTAGTCAGTATGATGCCTTCAGGTGTGTTTTTTTAAGTATTGGTGTAGATAGTGTGTATACTGTATAAGGAAGGGTACATGCATGTATGAGCTTTCACTTGTCCCATGGCATGCAGTTCATTAAATGACCACTGTGTGGCGTTTCTCTGCAGGTCCTCACGCAGACACTGCCAGCGGCTGCCAGAACCTGCAGTGTGGTTTCAGGGCCTGTTGTCGCTCCGGAGAGTGATCCTGCCTAGCAACGCTCTCCTGACACGTCACGTCTTCTTTTTATTGCACTTTATCCTGGGAATACCGGTTGCTGTATTTGTGTCACTTAAAAATGTTTCTGGATGAAACTGTAATTTTGCTCCTGTTATTTCCATTTCCATCTATATTAAATGGAAAAAATGTTTCAGAAAAGAAAAATGGAAAGGGGTGATAATGGATTTGAAGTGTCTGAAAATGTACATTCTGGTTCCTATTTTTATTTTGAAAACTTAAAAAACTAGGAGTGTAAACACCAAGTACTTTGTTTTCTGTAGTTAAACTTTGTTTGATTTTTTGACTTAAACTATGCTGATTTACATAAGTCTTCTTCTCCCTGTGCTGTGTTTAGTTGATTCATTTATAATCAGCAGTAGCATCAAAGTGATGTTTTATTTTTACCTTTAAACAAACTTTGTCAAGTATTGGAGGGTGACTTGGAAAATGAAACTGGATGTAATTGATCGCTGCCTCCCCTTCCATCAAAGCTGACTGTTGTGGACGGCTGTTATGTTGCTGATGGTTACAGGTCAGAATGATCTACATATAGTCCCAGTTGATGATCAGTTCACTGTCAGTGCCGCCATGAAGTTACTGACACACCAGTAGAGGATGTACAGACAGAATTGGTACATAACAACCATCCATGTCTTAAACATTTTGTGATACCGGATGTTCATAGTCAAACTTTTTGCTTTTATTCTCTTTAAAGCACTCCAATGTTGCGGGCAAGGAAATGGACCGATGTTCATGTAAGAGGGATTTTAATGCGCCCAACACTGAAGAGCTTTTAGAGAAGCTGAAAGGGGATTAAGAATAATGAACCTTAGATTGGGAGAAGCCTACTGTGTACTTCATCTTTGATCATTCTGCAACAGGATTTATTTGCTTGTTCGAAGGTCTTGCATAAGGAGTTCTATTGTAAATGTTAAATTCATAAACAGAACAATAAAAGTATCTTGGAGTTAAAAGCTCTAGTTCATTCAAATCATTTCTTAATTAACACAATTAAGTGAAGTAGAAATTGAAATGCTTGCAAACATATTTCAGTGTCAACACATTAAAAAAAAACTGGGAAACATTTAGATATAGAGCACAGTATTGTGAGCTATCAGTTAATTACATACATTTGTCCAACACAACTGCAATAAATCCTATTTTGGTGAAGATTATAATCCTGTTTTTATTGGTGTAGATTTTTAACTGTTTCTAGTGGTGGCGTCAACATAGATGAACAAAATATGTGAAACATTTGTTGCTGTGTATTGGATTGTTGTCATCAGCTTAAATAAAGCTAAAGCACACACTGTGATACACAGTGAGATGAATGTCTCTTGTGTCATGTGCGTACCAGTGAGGCCAGGTACACCCACACAGACAGGACATTATTAGGGTAGGGGTGCACATAGACGGCCAGGGCAAACTCCACGTTTGACGCCTGAACATTGTGAACTCCAGTGCTGTACACTGCCTCTATGATGGGCCGGATCTCAGAGAATGGCAGATGCAGGGGGAATCCTGAAATCTAAAAAGAAAAAAAGCCCTATAAGTGGGAATTTATGAGAGGAATTTATTATTAACGTGACACCATGTGCTTTGTGCCAGCTGGCTTTTTTCAGAGAAGAGAATAATATATCATTGAAATGATCCATGACCGATGACATCATTCAGTGAATCAGTCTAGTAACTTTTTTCCAGGCACTCCCATTTCAGACTTACCCTGTTGTCTCCCAGCAGGCTCTGCAACTCGTGGCGGTGCCCCTCAGCCACGTCCCGCCCCCCGCTCAGCTCCAGTTTGGGCAGGAACTGTTTCAGGGTGGTGGTGCAGTAGCGGTTCCAGCGGGTTGGGTGACGGGGGCGCCACTCCATGATCTTCTCCTTCAGCATCTTCTCAATTCTATGGAGAGTGAGATGGTAAATGCGTTTTGTCTGGTGTGGAACTGTAGCCAAACAAATCAACAGGACACAGTGTTAAAAGTAACTTGCCTGTCCTGAAGCTCTGCTGCAGCTACTTTGTTTGTGCGCTGATATACCAGCTCCTCTGGCTAAAGAAAATTAGATATGGAAGAAAATATTAAAAGACCACTGAACATATGACACGATTATCCACAAATGTTGAACACTCACTTGAACGCTTGACAGCCCTGGGTGAGGGAAGGACCGGGAGAAAAATGGCTTCCACAAGTTGGCTTTTGTGATGTCAAAACTCATCGTCATTGGTGACGTATACTGTTGAATGTTGAACCACACCTAAATAAAAATTCAGCAAAAAACTCAGTAATTTAGTGCCACATTATCAACTGGTAATTTGATGTCATGTAGTTGCTCTCTAATCGCTTCACTCACATTGTCAGCATTGATCAGGCAACCAACTGTTTGCAGTGGGCAGAAGGTGTCGTACTGTCCATAGTACTGCCCGCTGCTGGGATTCCAGATCAGGTAGCGGCTCTGCTCATAAGTCAAGACATATGCTGTGGGTCCCTAAGAAATAAAGAAAATCAAAAGTTTTTTCTTTTTTTCCTTTTTAATAAACCTCTCTGTAGGATCACCATATAACTGAAATCTCCACAGGTTTACAAACGCTTGTTACACACCTCTGGTATAGCGGTGCCAATAATAAGCAAGGCTTTCTTTCCCATAGACAGGAAGTAGTTGCACAACAGTACGGCGTGTTCTTCTTCATCTCCTGCAAGGAGGGTGAGGAATTGCTAAAAAGAAGAAGAGGAAACACAAGGCACTGTCACACGGGCATTTCTCTCCTCTCACAATCACAACACCTCAGAGAGGGTTTACTCACGTCACACGTCGTCCACAGGTCACACGCACCAGAAAACGAAACTCTGTCTGGCAGAGAGGGGATGAGCGAGACAAATCGGGCGACCAGGGCCTGTGTGAGGAAAATCTGAGTCAGTGTCACTACGGTATATCCAGTCAAATAAGAAATACAAGCAATTACTACCAAAGACAAGGGGAGTAACTGAGCAGCTTCTGTCTACATTCATTTCAATAAAGCAACTGACCGTGGCCTCCTGGGGGTTATTGGGGAATGCATCCAGTAACTCCTGTGGAGGGTTGAGTGGTCGAATATAACGCGTGATGAAGACCGTCTTCCCATTGAGGTCTATTATGGTGGTAATGCAGGGTCGGTCCGGGTAGCCCTGTGCTGCATCCCTCTCAAATTTCTCTGAAGCCAGCAGTAAACGCTCATCCTCTTGGCTGTCAAACTGCATAAAAAAGGTCAAAGGTTACAGCAGAGGAATACAGGTCAGCGCTATGAAAATGAAATCAACATGCCTTAAAAATGATGCGGCCATGAATGGGTGAATCAGGTGCACAAAAAAGGCTGAGTGTTACCTTCACTTCCTTAATCTATCACATGCGGCAGAGCAAAAGCAAATATGTGACACAAAACACAAGGAAAAATTAATATACTGATGCATAACCACCTACTTTTAAGGGCATGCGCAACTAACTGTTTGAAAACAAGGGATCCCATTTTCGCTACAGGGTGAGTAGAAGTAGTTTCTTGATATAGTCAAGTGACAAAATTCAGAATTTACCACTAAATTAAACCACTTTATAAACCCTGCTGTCCTCTGTCACTAGACTTGATCCATACTGTCCAGTCTTTTATGAAATAAAGCAAATGTAAACACACACATGAACTAAGACAAACTAGCACACAGTGATGCAGGCTGGGCGCTAAATAGCAGGCAGGATCAATCCTTAAGCATGACTTACCTTTTCCCTAATAGACTCTCCAGGCACCAGATGAGGTTCAATGGTGATGAACAGTGTGATAAATGCTCCCTCACTCAGGCTCCGCAGAGTGTCATAACCACCAATAGCGCCATGGCTCCGCTCCTTACTGTAGCCCAGCAACACTGCTGGTGTATTCAACTTGAATGTTCCATCAATCTGCTCGATGGAATTTTAAAAAAAGGGCAGTCAGTGTTTACTTTTCTGTTAGCAAGGCCACAACACCTGTCAATAAATCCACAACGACAAAGCCTCTCACCCTGGACTGAGAATAAATGGTGCTGAAAGGAATCTTGACAGAGCCCAGCCAGTGCTTCTCTACCTGAGTGTGTATTGATTTCCCTTTGTCTTTGTCATTCTGAGGAGCAAAAGGTGTTAGATAATGAAGCAATGAGCAAAATAATATGCAATTCAGCCTGTTCGGATACAATTATCGTGAGAGAAAATAATGTTTTACTCACCACTCCAGTTTCATAAACCACCTCATCAAATATGTTGATGAAGACTTCATCTTTGACTGATTGCAAACAAGCAGCGCTGTAGTCTCCATTTGGGGCACTTTAGAGAGGAACAGTTTTACATTTCAGCTTCTTTGTTAGTGTAACAATGTTAGGTGCACTTAGCTGCAGTATCTAGAAAGAGCTGTATGTTTTGAAGGTATGTAAGTTGGTAAAACTGATTTGAAATTGGCCACAAGTAGCACCCGATGACCGTAAAACACCAACAGCAAATGTAAAATAGCCTGGAGAGCCTTAGAATATTTTTTTCCTGGAGCCATTTCCAGTATTTTACTATGTGCTTACACTCCCCTCAATATTCTAAGAGCTGGGAGCTATTGCGTCAGCTTCAGGTAGAAACACATGCAAAGTGAACATTTACCACAAAAGACAAAAGTCAAGCCATGAAATACGCAGTTGTCACCTAAATGGTAGCTGCAGCTCCTCATTCCAGGAGGGGTTTGGTCCATCAGCTGTGGTTGTTTGAAGGACTGTGCGCTGGAAGGAAACCTCCACAAAGGGCCTCACTTGTACCTACATCACACCAATAACAAACACACACAAAAAAACCCAAAGACATCATTTAGATCACATGCCAATAAAGATCTGGCTGCCAATCAGCTTTAAAGTACAATTAAAGGTGTATTATACCTGGCTGAGGAGCCAATCACTGCCCTGGATGGCACTCTGTGACGACTGTCCTGGTTTACTAAAATAAAAACCCATTGACACAAAGTTCAACGTTCTGTCAGATCAGGTAAGGGTTAGGATTTTTACTCTTTCCTAAACTATTCTGAATTTGACGCGACACACTCGACACTCACTTGCTCTGGGGTCTGCGGATAGGGACATCGTAGGCCCGGATTATGTTGATCAGCAGTTTAATGTCGCCATCAGACAGATTCTGAGCCGTCACCTTCTTTCTTTCTATCCTCTGAGGTTTCAGCGGCCGCTTGGGTTCAGCCAGCTTGAAAAGGTTTAGTCCCAGAATCCTGATTGTCACAACAAACAGCTGTTATTATTCTGTCAACAACCTACAAGGGACTGCAACGTGTTCATTGAAACGGGTAAGTGAATGCAAATCATTTATTGAGAGATCAAAAACATTTTTATATTTTGTGTAAAAGTGTGGGAGACGATTATTAAAACAAACAGTACCCAGTCCATCCAGGTATTTGCGATTTTATGATCACAATAGTGATTCAACATTTTGATTTTCTCTTTCTGAAGTTTTTATGGCATAGTAAGTGCTGTTGAAAAATGGGACCACTAAGATGAAAAGTGGTTTAAACTGTGTTGCTTATTGTTTACTACTACCAGAAATATGCAGCATTAATTGTGGCTCAGAGGGTTTCCACAAAGAGGATTGCTTCACGTGTTTGAATAAAACAAATATACCTGGATATTATAGGCAAAAGTGGGCCAGTCCCATGGTGCCTTGCAAAGTGTTTTTCATATTTGAAGTTAGTAAAATGGAGGATAAGCACTTAACAGTGTTATTTAATGAGGAATAGATCCACTCTAGTGTTTATTCACACTTTGCAGTGAGCTGTCTTACAGTAGGGGAGAGCGAGGTGATTTGAGCCTGTGGGGAAGTTGAGCCACCTCTCGTTTCTCGGGAACCATAGACAAAATTGGTCATGTGAATACACATTATTGAAGAGTCGTCCATTTCACTCACTCTGTGATGGAGAGAGGCCCATGGAATAAGTGAT